AGCTTCATTTTGGCCCACAAATCAGGCAGTCAAAGAAAATACAGTTGAAGGTATGATCCATGATGATTTCTGACTCACTGGATCACATTAAGAGAATATTCACTTAAGGCACTTGATCATCCTGAATTGTCTTTATGCCCTTAGGCTCCAGGATTTCTGTTCAACCAACCTGTCCTGCCTGCCCTGCTGTGGGGCCCACATCATTTGTTCTCCAAGCTTCCATCTGATAGGGCATCACTAACCCATACCACTTCTTGGTGGGTGTTATGGATTGAATTGTGTCTCCCAAAAGAGATATGCTTGAAGTCTCAACCCCTAGCACCTGTGAATGTGACCTTGTTTGGAAATAAGGTCTTTGAAGACAGTTATCAGTTAAGTTAACATGGGATTCTGCTGGAGCAGTGTGGGTCCGAATCCAGTATGAGAAGTGTCCTTATAAAAGAAGAAAAGAGACACAGAGATACACAGAGGTAAGATGGGTATGTGAAGATGAAGGCAGAGATTTGGAATGATGCATCTACAAGCCAAGGATTGCCAAGAATTGCTGGCGGACACCAGAAGCTAGGAGAGAGACACAGAACAGATTCAACCTCAGAGCCCTCAGAAGACACCCTGATTTTGGACTCCTAGCCTCCGAAACTGTGAGACAATTAATTTCTCTTCGTATAAGCCACCCAACTGGTGGTATTTTGTTACAGCAGCCCTCAAAAAAAACCCATTGCTGTTGAGTCAATTCTGACTCATAGCAAGGCAAAGCATGACCTGAATGAGATGAAGTAAAAGAAAACAAAAAACCATAAGGAGGTGAAAAAGCTACACTTTCCACAAGCTTAAAATTATTAGTCTCCAAATACCATGAGTTAGGCTGTCTGTGTTTTAAGTTTTGCATTTGTGCTTAAGAGATTCAAAACTTAGCTATAATTGTTGTTGTTAGTTGCTGTTGAGTTGGTTCCAAGTCATGGCGATTCCAAGTATATCAGAAAGAGCTGCGCTCCACAGAGTTTTTAAGGCTGTGACCTTTAGGAAGTAGATTTCCAGGCCTGTCTACTAAGGCACCTCCGGGTGGTTCAAACGGCCAACTTTTCGGCTAGTAGTCAAGGGTTTAACTGTTTGTGCCACCCAAGGACTCCTTAGCCATAATTAAACCCACTGTCGGCAAGTTGATTCTGACTGATGGTGACCCTACAGGACACAGAAGAACTGCCCCGTAGGGTTTCCAAGGAGCAGCTGGTGGATTCGAACTGCCAACCTTTTAATCAGCAGCCAAGCTATTAACCACTGCGCCACCAGGGCTCCAGTCATATTTAGAGCCATTGAAATATTGTCCTAGACACTGAGGTCATAAAACGAAGCCCCAGCAATCTAAGGCAAGTCTCTCAGCCCCAAGTACCTGCAAGGACAAAGCAGGTAACATCTGCATATGAGAAAGCAATGTAGAACACGAAAGGTATTCACATTCAAATGTGTTAAAAATAACACCCTGGTGGCCCTCTATGGCTCTCACTGTAAGGACAGAATGCATACAGTTGAGATGAGAAGAAGATATTTAATGAATGTGGATCCCTTACAAGCAACATTCCCCAGCAGAAAGATGTGAACACCAGAGTTGCAGATAACAGAAACGCAAGTTTGATGGCTCTGGAATAAGAAGAATTCACCTGAAAAGGTTAGGCTAAAGCCTAATAAAGTCTGGAGGTTGCTAAAGGCAAGTAGGGGAAATGTTAGGCAAAGAAGCCCATAAGGTAATTCCCAGTGGGAAAAATTTTCAGTCTCTGGACACCAGAGAGGATGTTGTCATCGTGGCCTTTACTAGAGCAAAGAAAGGACACATCCAAGGTACTAGGCTCATAAAGTCACGAGGCTAGGAAAGACGAAGGGGTTTTTATTCTGAGATGTTTATCCATCTGCAATTTAATAGGGAACATGGCAAAATTACACACGCTCCTGCCTTTTAATATCAACCACTAAGTCACTTCACCTTCCTAGGCCTTAGTTACCTCAGCTGTTATATGAGGGCAGTTAACCAGATGATTTCTAAGTTCCTGTCCAGTTCTTTAAAAAAGATCATGTCTGTGAAAAACGCTTCTATGCTTATATGTTCAGTAATCCACTCCTTTCTAATATGCCACTTTATCTTCACATATTCTGAGTAAACTATTATAGCTACACTAACATAAATTGCACAATTACTTGTTTGAAGCAGAAATAACTCACAGTATTTCCAATTATCTCTGTGATAATGCTATTAAGTAATTTATATAGCTACCAAAAATTAAGTACAACATAAATAGGAGATAAATCTTTAAGATATTCCTCATAGCAAAAAAGAGACACTGCATGAAGCTATTTCTGCTCTTCTCCTCCCACACTGTTAGACCAATTTCAGTGAAAAGATGGCCAGATCAAGAATAGCTTCCATAGGAGGAGGATCTGGCTAGAAATGTATTTGGACCATTGTGGTCTGTATGGTCTAGCGGGAAGCACAGTGGAAGATTTGGATTCTAGACCTAACCCTTCCTGTAACCATATAAGAAATTTATTTAGCTTTTTCTCCCTCCGTTTTCTATTTGTAAAAAGTGATAATTCTACATGTCTCTTTGTGCCTCAAAATGTGCTATGTACAGAAAGAGATAAAGTATGTGAAGCATTTGAGTTCTAGGGAGGAAAAGTGTTACAGGCAATAATTGAGCACTTTAATGATTAAGAACACTGATTTAACACACGCACACACGCGCACGCACACACGCACACACACACACAGAGTCATGGTTAGATCAGGGCAAGGGAGAGGGAGAGTCACTCGACCACAGAGTCTGAGAGTCTTCAGTAAGTAAAAGCAAGAGCTTATGGCTGACAGTGGACACAAATACACACAGCTTCAATCTCCCCAGTGGAATGAATTCAACTATCAAGGAAATGAGAGGCACAACCCTTGCTTATAGACTCCTGGTTTGTGAACACATTTTCCTTCCTTCTTCTTTCATTCCTTTCTTCCTCTGACCCCTCCTTCCACACATTTGAAAGATTTGCACTGAGGGCTAAAATGTTCCATATCCTAGATACGGGCACAGCCCTCAAGTTGCTCATAAACCTACTTATTTTAACAAATGACTAAAGTTCCATATCAATAAATGTGACTAAAGGGATATCTGTTGCCTCTAGGTGTCCAAGTCTTTGCTCATAGCATTGCCGCTGGACTTCTAATGGCTGTTCCCAAAGAGGCTCAGGCAGGGACCTGGGCTGTTGAAGCCTGAATTGACAGAGGTACCTGCCAATCAGTGAGCCAATGCCATCTGTTTTTAAATTTCCTTTTTTACATATTTGTCCTCCTTCCTCAAGTACCCCTTGTCTTTCCCATTGGCAGGCAGGGAGGGAGAGCCATATGCTGAGTGCTAATTATAATGAATATTTGTCATTTACTCCCTTATTAATCCTAAATATTTAGTTCTAGGAAAATAATCCTATAACAATGAACAGAATAGGAAGAAGAGGCCATAGGACCAGTTAGGAGGACATTACAAGGGTAAGATTTAGAAGGCCTAAATAAAGTCAAACCATGTCAGGACTGTTTCTATTCTGAAATGCCAAATTAGAAATAGCCTTTGGGAATGAGAATTGTGTTCTATCTATGTATAATTACAGTAAAAAGATAATTCAAATCATGTTGTTGCTGTTTGGTGCCATCGAGTTGGTTCCAACTCATAGTGACCCTACGTACAACAGAACGAAAAACTGCCTGGTTCTGTGGCATCCTCACAATCATTGTTATGCTTGAGCCCATTGTTGCAGCCATAGAATACAGAATCACAGGACATAGAATCCCATGACCTCCAAGCCAGCTATTTTCTCACCCCCAAATTTAGAGGCTGAATTATACACATATCCATAACAATGGTAATAATTATAGCTTCAATTTTTGAAGTTGTCTCTGTTTCAAGCATTGGGCTAGGTGCTTTACAGCAGCAAGGTTAGGCAATTATTATCTCACTTTCTAAAGGAAGAAACAAGTCTCTGGAAAGTTATGTAACACACAGGGTCACATAAGCGCTAAGTGATTGAGGCAGGGTCAAAGCCTGGTCCGTCTGACTCCAGAGCCTGTGCTTATTGCATTATGCTACGCTGTCTCCATGTTTATCTTTTTAAGATTTCGCTTGCATTCCTTTTTACTTCTAGGAATGCTGAGCAAGGGAAAAAGGAAGCAACAGCAGGAGCAACAGCATGTGGGACGCACAAAAGGCATGTGAGAAGGAAGAAGAGAAAACCACACCACTTCCCACACTAGGGGCCTTGCTTTAGGAGGAAATAGCTGCCACAGCTGGGTCATTTAATACAATAATTTCCTTTATGCTCCTTGCTGCTGCCATAAAGAGAGAGGCTGGGAAGAGGGAAGTGGGGCTTGGGGCTGCCCCCTCTAAGAGGCCCAAGTACAGCATGACTGCTCAGCCCCTCCAACCAAGGGGTGAGCTGACCTGGATACCCATGGCCATCATGGACAGTCCATGGAGGGCAAGCTGGATATCGCACACCCTGGTCCATGGGTGCCTCAGCCCTGAGCCTTCACACATCTCCTGTCCCCCAGTCTTTTCCTTTATCTCTTTCCCCTTATTCTGATGACCACAGTCCAAGCAAACAGGGGAAGGGAGGGGACTGATCTGGATTACATTTGCTGCTTGTAGTATGAAATACGGTAGCGTGAGATCGCATTTAGTAAAACTTTTCCTTAAAAATTGTTTTATTCTCTAATCCACTTTTTATTGGTTAGAAGCAAAACAAAATGGATCATATATTTAAAAGCAGAGGGAAGAAAAAAGACATACCATTCGAGAAATGTCTAGTAAGCAAATACCCCAGGAATATTTATCTAAGTGGTTACCCTGGGATATCTGAGGGAAAACGTGAAAGCAATTTTCTTGGCTATCATCACGTTAATATGAAATTTAAACTCCAAATACAACCACAGGCACATTCCTTTAACTTGGGGAAAGCACAATTGTACTTACCTGGCATGACCATGGTCTGTGGGGCGGCGGCATCGGTACTTAAGCACAGGCGTCCACCTTTGGCCAGTCTATCGCAGAGCAAGGTGATATGTTTCTTCAGGCGGCTTGTGTCTTTGGGCATGTTCAGTTGGCTGCTGAGGTTCAAAGCCTGCTCCTTTGAACTCTTCGACAGGCAGGTCTTCAATAGGTGGGAAATAGCAGCATCCACTGTTTCTTCCCAGCCCTGGATGCAAAAGCCAATTTTGAATTTAGGCAAAAATGACAATAAAAAGAGTGGGCCCTTTACTGTTAACCGAGTTATACAGATTCTGAGTGTTTATGCTTAGGTATTGGGAAGTTGTTGAGAGTTTGGTATCTGGAATATTCCAGAGCAGCCTGGTTTTGAATTTTAGGTCTGTCAACTGTTTGACCTTGAGCAAGTTACTTAATTCCTCTAAGCGTCATCCTCATCTACAAATGAGGATGCTAACAGTCTATACCTCCAAGGGTTCAGGTGCTTAAATGAGAGGATATCTGAAAAGTGTTCAGCCCTGTGGCAGGCATAGAATAATTAGCAACATTAATAATAATCTCAAGTGTGGGTATATCTGATGATCTGGCAGGTGAAGCTGCTAGTATGGTAGTTTGTTTTGCCATATTTTTCTGCTGAAGGAGAACTGGCCAGGACAGAGACGACCTTTGGATACTTTTGGGGGAAACTAGATTATAGACAAAGTCCTGGTGTCTCTCAGCTACTGTTCCCACAGTCTGATCCCTTGGGGGTTGCAGGAAGAGGCTGAAGGAACTTATTTTAAAAGAGATTTTGTGAGACACAAAGGCCTACCTAGTCCTGCTTCATTGACCAGGTGACAAAAAGGGACACAAAGTGAGGAAGTAGATCATTTACTCAACCTCTGTCAAGAAGTGTGGATGTGCTGTGTGAGGACCTCAAGAAGTGCACTATCTGTCTGGAACCATCAAGGAACAAATCTGGGAACATGAATGCTCAGTGGGGACCTCAGCATTATTACGAAGGGCATCAGCACCAGCAGGACTGGCATGGGAGGCACCATCATCAGGTGGGTTCAGATACCAATGGGATCACCACCAAAAACACTAGCACAAGTAGGGAGGGGTGGAAGAACAGGAGGGGTCAGCTTATGAGCTTCCATTAGGCATCCCCAGGGGATTGCTGACATAACGGGGTACGATTTTTATGGAGTCTAAAGGCCCTACAGCAGTACAACGGAGAAGCATTAGTGCAATCTGGATTGTTACCCTCAACATGACTCCATTTAAACACATAGACTGGTAAGACCTAGAGTGCTCTGGGCATGATAGTGAAAGTGTAATTACAAAGGAAGACATTAAATGATTTTATTCTCAAAAAATACTGCAGAGCAGCCCAACCCAGCTCAGGCATTGCCATCCCTAGGAATGACATCCACGGGCCCTCTTCAGGGCTCTTTGACTTGGTGCACCCAGATGCTCACTCTGTGCTGTTGTCTCTGTTTGCATGTCTGGCTCCCCTATCAGACTGCCTGGGGTTCTTCACACCCCAGCACTGTGCTTGGTAAACAGAGGGTGGTGAAGAGATGTCTGCTGGACAGAAAGATGGTGAGTTATAGATCAGGATCTTAAAAGCTGAGAGGACTTTGGAGATCTTTAGTCCAGTCTTATGGGATTTTCCCAGGATCCTTTATACAACCACAGCCATCTGCCTAGGCATAGCTGTCTTCAAGATCCAAAATTACTACTTTTTGAGGCAGTTCACTCCTTTTAAGGACATGGGTAACCAGCAGAAAGCTATTTCTATACTGAGACAACATCTGCCCCACTGGCCTTCATTCTACCCTCCAGAGCCATGCAGAATAAATCTAACCTCTTTTCTCCATGACAGCCCTTTGTATCTGTGAAGACCGAAATTCTGTACCCTCTTCTCCAGCATAAACATCCCCAGTTCCTCCAGCTCTTCCTTATATAAACATGGTTTCGAGTTTTCTCTCCATCCTAACCACTCTTCTTTGAATGAGCTCCAATTTTAAACACTTAAAAATTTATACAGCTAAATAGAGAACCCCAAACTGAACCCAATGCATCAGGCTGGGGCTGACAGTACAGGGCAGGACACAGCCCTGCCTCTCATTTTCTGGGAATTCGACCTGCCAGTCAGGTCTCCAGGCACCTCCACTCTCTTGGCAGCTGCACCACACTCTGGATTCAAACGAGCTTATATAAGAGCTTACAAAGGACACCAAGCCTTTTCCATAGTCACCATATTTCTCCTTTCTAGACTTAGGCAATTGATTCTTTAGGCCAAAGTGCAGACTCTCTATGTATACCCTAGAGAACTTCCCACTGATTACCGTGATTGGGTTAATCAGGATTTTTTACTTGACTGACCCATTAGAGTTGCCATCAGGCAAATCAGGAAACAAATTAATGATTTTAAAATTATCTTGAAAATCCTTTCATGAGATGTCAAAGATTGTAAAAACAGCCTCCTAGCCCAAACCACTAAAGACTAACAAACCACTGGTTACTATAAAGACATCTCTATACTACTCTAAAACATCTAAACTAGAGAAATATCTAAAACTGACTTTGTGTTTCACCAATAATGGGAAGAGAGAATTTAAGACAAAACAGTAACCCAGATCTCATCGAAGAGGATATATTTCCATATATTGCTTTTGGGCCCATTGATGAAAACCCCTGGAGTATAAAAAAGGAAGATCTTTTGTACGTAATTTGGAATTTGTGTGGTCTGTGCTCATTTCAGCATTAAAACAGTTCCTACAATTTTATAGAGTATTCATCTAAGCAAACAACTGTATTCTTAAAGTAAGTTACAGTAGCATATTAGATAATTGAAGTAAATATGGCAGTTAGTTAATACAGAGGTACAACAGAATTTCCTTTCCGTCTGCCAACTTGCAGATCAAGTAAAAAACCATGTCATGTTTTGGTATTTGGCATGGATACTTCTTTAATATAATGAGGCATGGTGCCAATACTTCAGAAAGATTGCTACTGAAATACAGAGTTATTTTTTTGGAGGGGCCGAATTGCTACATAAATTCAAATATGGTAATAAAAAGGAATGTTTATGACACAAAAGGGAAACACTGGAAACGAGAGTTTGGTTAAACAGAAATGCAATGTGATCATTCATTGATTAAATATGATCAAACAATGGTCAAAAAAACTCACCTGGTGAAATGTAAAACCAAACTCTTTGGAAATCTAGGATCTCATGTGGGAGAAGCACCTTGAAGTTAAGCTATTTCAACCACTCTTTTGGTGTTTGAGTCCATCACCTTTAGTTATAGCTCTTAAGGTGATAAATCAAATGTTCAATTTTAATGTCTAAATACATAATTATGTACACACTCACACACACACTCCACACGTACATTCCTAACCTTTATCCTCTCAAGCTAAATAGCAATTGTGCCAATAATTTTATCTCTTCTTATTGTGAGAGCGAAATAAAACCTAAATTGTGGGGAAATAATGCTAAGAAATGCCTGGGAGAAAGCTACTAAGCATGGGTTCTTCAGTGAGAAATGATTTTAGTTCTGACATCCACAGCCTCTCAAAAGTCCCTGTTCACCCATCTATGCCTTCTACAAAACAATATCAGGTGTAAAGACAGATATAGAAAGACATTGATCAGTTGATCAAAATGTATGATTTTTTCTATTTTACCTTCTTAACAGTCCTTGTCAATATTGAAATTTATCTTATTGTATTTTGGTGATTTTTTGTAGGTATTTTTTTGGTTTTGTCTTTGGCGCTTATTTTGTCTAATCTAGTAGTAATAACTGGGCTTTTTCTTTGTTCCCAAGATCTAGGTTCTATTCCATGACTTCGTTTTTGTCTTGGTTTTTCTACCTAAGCCTCTGCCTTGTCCTTGATGGACTGGGCTGTTCCCCTCAAGGACCCGGTCCTAGTGACTGTGGCTCTGCTGCCTGCTGACTGACTCCTTTGGGGCCAAGGTGCCTGCTGCATGCATCCACCAACACAACTGCATCCCAGTTCTTGGTTTCCTTTACCTGTGAGGAGGTTCCTGCCACTCCCTGCTGGTCCCAGATGCCTCTGTGTACCCAGTGTGATACCTGGCATGTCATCCCTTTAGATCCAAGCCCTGGCCTCTCCTAGTCTGCTCTTCCTTCTGACTGAATTCAACTAAGCCATGGTTTTTGCCTTCCAGAGATGGCTGTGGCTGGGTTTCTGATCTCTGCCTCACTAGTCGCCACTGGTCTGTATGCCTAAACACCAGTACCAAGCAAGTGGCTTATCAGAAACAGCAAGAAGCAGAAAGTTTGGCCAAGTTTGTACTGTTAATTGCCTAAGGTATTGAGGCAGGGAAACTCAGAGCCCAACCGTTTTAAGAGACACTTGCTCTGGTTTATCCTCGTACACTGAGTAGAAGCGGCCACACGTTGTTCTGAAATCTTCCTTGACAAGATAACCACAGAATGGCCAAAAATGTTCTCAACCAGTTTTAGCAGGTCTTCAACGCCATCTTGGCATTTTAAGTGACCTATTAGCTCATTAAGTACAAAATACATATAAGCACCCCGCCTCTGGGTGGAGGTTTAACACGCTAATGAAAGAAAATCAATCTCTTTCTCCGTCCTGGAGAATCAAACTCTTGTCTAAAGAAAATGCCTAGTCATCCCCAAGCCCTGAGTGCCTGCATGAAGGTCAGTCTTGACTATTCATGATTAATTTGCATTTCCTTGTCTGCTTGCTGTAAAAGCCCACCTCTCCAAACTGCCTCTGAGCAGTCTTGAAGGCAGCAGCTCCGATTACTCCTTTCCTTGCACAACGAAATAAAGGTGGCTTTCTTCTCTCCCACCTCGGCCTCTTGTTTATTGGCTGTAACAAGTCATGCCGAGCAGAATCTGAGGTTTCTACCCGGCAACAGTATGAACCAAAGTGACCAAAGTAAAAAACTAAACTAAAAGAGTTTGCCTAGGCCACCTGTGAATTAAAACAGCCGTGTTGAACATAGCTGCCTCTAAGCTTCTGGGTCCTACTTAACCTCATTCATCTCAACCGCCCCTTTACTCTGTCACTCTAGAAAACTCACTTAACCTCTTAGGGTACAGATGAAGTTTGCATGAAATGGGAATAACATCATTTGCCATGCCAGTCTCACATGGTGGTAACACACTCTGAAATCCTAAATGGAATTTACTATGGAATAAGAATATACTCCCTCCTACTTTTTCT